ATTAGTAATTTATAATTAATTCCATATTTAGTTTTTTACCACAATAAATAATAACTCACCATCATGTTACATTTGGCAGATCTTACAAACGTCAAATTTACGATAATCGCTTTGGTTGCCGGTCAGTGCACACGATTGAATGATTGAGTGTCTTTTAACAGTGGTCAGCGCACAGGTATAAAAGATCGTCTGTTAATGGTTTGATGGTGCACAACGTTGTTGCTGTTGCTCTTGCGCTCTTTTTATTAAAGAGAGTTGGGTGCGCAGTGCGCAGCGCACTCTCCAAGCGCCAGCAGCAGCTTCAACGGTGTTCGATTTCGGTGTTGGATTTCAGTCGCAAACTACGTGTAAGCAAAGATAGACGGGTGCGCGCTTCTGCTGCTGTGGCTCCAATTTCGTTTCGGTCTCAAAACAAAAACAAAAAAGAAGAAAAAAAAAAAATACAGCCAACTGGCGCGTTTTGTTTGGCCACGGTGCGAACGAGAGAGATATAGAGAGCGGAGAGCGGGGCGCGAAAGTGCGGAGAGTGGCTCGTAATGTCTGCCAAAGCGTAACGAAAATTTTCAAGACAACAACAAATACAACAAAACCAACAACACAACAGCAACGGCAAATATCATTAATGGCATTTTCTGCTTTGAGTTTGTGTGTGAAAAGTGCACAAAAAACAACAAAAAAGTAACGCCGAATAGGCGAGCCACAGCAAATGGCAAAATAGAAATGTAAAAAAAGGTATACGAAAAGCAACTGCAACATCTTTAATTACATTATTAAAATTAATTGCAAATTGTTTGTGCGCGTGCGCGAGCGAGCCAGCTCCTTTTTAAACAAAATACAAAATCAAGAAAAAAAAAATAAGTAAATAAGAAGAAGACAAACAGCTCAGCAAAATGCTTGTAAAATGTATGAGAAAATTTTATACCTACAAAAATATGGTCAATATTGCCATTTACTCACCTGTGCAGTTGTCTATGTCTGACTGTCTGTTGTTTCTACGTGCGAGTGTGTGTGTGCGTGTAGATCATGGCTGTGTGTTTCACTATGCGAGTGTGTGGTTGTGTGTGTATGAGCTGTTGCATAGCTGTAAACCAGTTGCCAATTGCAACGTGTTTTCTGTGTTTCTCAAAGAGACGATCATAAAAAATATAATTACAAAGTAAAAAAAGTAAAAACATTAACAATACGCTGAAACATTAAAATTCTGTCCAGATACTATAATTTTGTAAATACAAAGATGAAATATATGAAA